GCTAGAGAGAAGGAGTTGCCATTTACTGAAGTTGGAAAAATCTCTTTAGTTTCCAAATAACAATGGTTATGTGAACATGTAAATGAGAGAACTTGTGTGCTTGGGCAGAAAAGTGTCTGGAGATGAGGCTGGAGAAAACCGTCAGTTAAGAAGGCTGCAAGTTCAGTGTTCATCGAAAGTTATAATATGCCTTTTTAGAAAGAGATGGATGAAACTGTGGGATATAGCCATAGAAGAAACACATGGTCCATGTTTGGAGACAGTGGTAGTGGTTGTGGTGGTGATGGCAGAGACACTAAACAAAATAAGACCCAGTCTTGTAAATGATTTGGCTTTAATTCATATTCACTGATGGCAGAAGCCGCAGTGTAATTGTGGTGGACTCTTCTGTTTTACTCATCCTGACAGTTGTAAAACAGCAAACAGTGGTTGGCGATGATCAATATAGAAGATAGATATAGATTTCTGGTGATGAGCATTTCTGTAGGACTGGTAATTTTGGAAACTTTTCGCCAAGTCTGGATCAGACTTACAGTAGTTGTGTACGCCGTTTGTTCTCTAGGACGCTTACATGTTTCCTGTGATAAACTGCTAGCAAAATTATTACTGAAATGCAAATCAAAACTACAATGAGGTATCATCTCATACCAGTCAGAATGGCCATCATCAAAATGTCTATAAATAATAAATGCTGTAGGGGGTGTGGAGGAAAGGGAACCCTCCTACACTGTTGGTGGGAATGTAAGTCAGTGTAGCCATTATAGAGAACAGTATGGAGGTTCCTTAAAAAAACAGAAATAGAGTTATCATGATCCAGCAATCCCACTCCTGGGCATATATACGGAAAAGACAAAAACTCTAATTTGAAAAGATACACGCACCCCAGTGTCCACAGCAGCACTATTTACAATAGCCGAGACATGGAAGCAACCTGTGTCCATTGACGGATGAATGGATAAAGAATATGTGGTATATATACAATGGAATAGTGTTACTCAGCCATAAAAAAGAATGAAATAATGCCATTTGCTGCAACATGGATGGACCTAGAGATTATCATACTAAGTGAAGTAAGTCAGTAAGTCAGATAAAGGCAGTTATCATATGATATCACTTATATATGGAATCTAAAAAATGATACAAATGAAGTTACTTACAAAGCAGAAACAGACTCACTGACATAGAAAACAAACTTACCAAAGGGGAAAGGAGGTAGGAGGGATAAATTAGGAATTTGGGATTAACAAATACATACTACTGTATATAAAATAGGTAAACGACAAGGACATAATGTATAGCACAGGGAACTATATTCAATATCTTGTAATAATGTAATGGGACAGAATCTGATAAAGATTGTGTGTATATATACATATACATGTGTGTGTGTTTAACTGAATCACTTTGTTACACCTGAAACATTGTTAATCAACTATACTTCAATTTAAAAAAAAAAAAACAACTGCTAGCAAGAGAGGTTGCTTACCTGTAAGAGTTAAGTTTGGTCCCTGTCTGTCTGACTTCCAAATTCAGTAATATGCAAATGCACCTTAACTGTTTTGTGGCTATTGGAACTAAAAGCGGTTAAGAAAACTAAAGGTAGGTAGTTTTGAGGAAAGCTAGTCTACCACGAATCAGTGCTTGCCATCAGCGAATAAAGTACAGAGAACGTGTTTTAGTCCAGGATACTTTGTGGCTATCGGCGTGCTAGGTGAGTATGTGACAAGGGAGTAGGGTCTGGCTCTCCAGGAGTCCACTGACTGCTTGGTGAGGGAAATTAGAAGTGTTCAGAGCAGGTATGACAAATGCAGGCTTGGATGCCCTTGAACATGAGTGAAAGTTGTAAAGACAACCTCTGTCTTTAGTTGAATTCCTTGTAGTGTGGAGACTTTGGAAGTTTGGAAAGGTTGGAAAACATTAAACTGAAATCACTCAGAGGGCAGTGTCCAAAGTGATATGTTGACTGTCTGCCTTAAGCTCCAGGGTCTGATGAAATGTTTTTAAAGGGATCATGAGTGTTTGAATCAGGACAAAAAATGATACATAAATTGCAAGACTGTAGTGGACCATTTTGAGAAGCTCTGACTAACTGTAGAAAGAAAAGTAGAGCGACTGACAACACAGCAAATTTGGAAAAATGATATATTTAGAGAGAGCGCTGTTGAGAGTGTGATTTTGATGTGAGGAAGAAAATGGGATCCTGGAACATGGCGCAATGCTTACGGGTTTTTCTGCTTATATTGTGTTGGGAACATTTGCAGCCCTCACAGTTCACTGCCTCGATTTTGCCAGATTTAAAATAATACTCCTCTCTTGGGGTTGTGATTCTGAGTAAAAAAACTCTGGCTTATGGACTAATAGCTCATGACTCTATATGTGATGAAATGGATTTTCTTTTTTATTTGCCTACACTTTCTCCTTGATTTCCTTGTCTTTCTTCTACACTTGTTTCATGTCTTTAATGGCTTTGTTGGAAATACGTAAGGAGATCACCTAATTCCTCCTTAGGAATTATCTTCTTTCCTCTGCTTATTGTTTTCACCCTCTGTTAATTAGCAATATAACAAACTTCCCCAGAGAAATTAATTATAATTCCACAAGCTGAAAAATTTAACTTCAGGTGAAAAATAAGTAGCAGAAGTTGGTGAACCAACCCTAAACAATAAATATTTGTATTTAATGCAGCTGCCACTAGTAACTAAGAGAAAATGCCTAACTGAAATGGACCCTAACTAACTCACTTGGTTATTCTGAGGGGTTCTTGGTGCATGTATGCGGGTAGTAGCAATTATGGGGCATTTTGCTGAATGTCTATGACACATTGCCACCTTGTGGCTGCGTGTTTTTCTTTCACTGTAAAAGCAAATTTTTAATATTAAGTCCACATATTTTATTTTTTCCCTAGTATTTATACTTCCCTTGATAACAGAAGATTTGCGACATCTTAGAAGTGTAAGATTTAATACAGGGCAGGAGAATTTAAGACCGTGTCCTTGTTATTTGAAGAGGCAGGCCAAAGTATTGAGGGGTAAAAATCCACAATGTCTGCAACTAACTCTCACTATAGGGGTGGTAGGGCAAAGAGAAAGGGGGGGGAGGGGGGGAGAGAGAGAGAGAGAGAGAAGGGGTAAAAGTCATGGGCGGAAGTTAACAACTCACCACTGGTCAAGGGAACATGGTTTTTATTGTACTAATCTTACAATTTTCTGGTGTTTCAAATTTCCTTAAAATTTCCCCAAAATATTGGCAGTAAAAAAATAAAAAACTGGGGTAAGGGCATAAAATAGAGCTAAGAAGGAGGCAAAATTAACCTCTGCATTGTGTAATGGACTGACTGCATTTGGACCCCTGGCTGGGTTCTGCGTTTTCTAGTAGCTGATGTGTTACTGTCCAAGGTGCCCTTGCTACATTTCATTGTCTGTAAGGTTTAAGGGCAAAGTGTCTAACGCTAGACAGAAATTCGCTCTTGGAGGCCGTTCTAAGTAGGACACTGATGTAATGAACAGCAGCCCTAACAAATACTTCCAAAAGTACAGTCTGCAATTCCTTTTCCCTGCAGATCAGGGCAGATCCTGGAGTGGATGCACCTCTAGTTTGTGGAGGACCTCTCACTAAACTACTAAGTGGCAATGACATACAGTAAAATACTGACTGGCAGTGAATTTCAGATGGTGCTGATTGACAAGTGCTTGAAATCCAGCTGTTCTGTGTTACTAATGAATACAGCTGAGCTTGGGGGAGAGTTGACATCATGTAACAGCTGAGTGAGTGTAGGCTATCTCATTTCAACTGGCTGGAGAGGAGTTACTCATAGGCAAGGTCAGATTTCTTTTTGTGCCATGGTTTTGAATATGCTGCGTGGCATAGACAGATACATAGATGACTTCATCCATGAATTTCCCTTTCCTGTAAATACACCCATGAGAGTCTTAATCTGAAAAAATTCTGACAGGTATAAGCAGATGACCTTCCTACCCAGGAAAACAAAACAAATCTCAGTGAAGCATCCCTAAAAATGCCTGGCTTTGAGCAGTGTTACCCAACTCTTGTTTGTTTTTAAATTTCTATGAAGCTGGCTCTTTCCTGTGGCAGTTGGAATATCCATGAATATTTTTTGTACTTCATTTTTATTCTTAATAACTATCTGGGTATATGCATGTGCACATTAATATTTTTGTCTTTAATAACTATCTAGACACCTATACATGCATATATACTTACTTGAAGGAGAACATTTTAAAACATAGGGCCCTGTTCAGGTATGAGAGGTTTTCTTCTGAAAGCAGGACAGATCTTGAAGTAAGTGTTGTGACACAAGGGATTCTTTTGTAGAAAGCTGTCTTTTGAAGTGACTTTGGTTTCTATGACTCTTGTGACAGGTTTTCTTTTAAAAAGCTATGAAGTGGTATCAGGACGTATTAATTTCCATTAAGGGCTGTGGTGCTTAGAAAGTTCCCTTCCCTACGTATATTTGTGAGCACCAGAAGCTTGTGAATTTTCTTCTGTGAACAGCTAAAGTGATCTATGGATTCTCTGTAGAATCCATAGAGCGATATTCTTCATTTTTTTTAGGAGGATCATGGCCCACAGAAAGATATATTTTACATAATGACTCTGGATACACACACATACATGTATCACTTAACCATTTCACGAAATGATTCTTTTCCTTCCTTCATTGGACTCTGATAATTTCTGTTCTGCTGATCACCATCTACTAAACTTGATTTCATGACCCACTAATACGCCATGACCCACTAATTCGCTTGAAAAACACTGCAATGGAGGTTTTGCAGCGAGCCAGATACTTTTTCAGATGGAAGACTCAACAGTGGAACCCTGAAGTCTCTAAACCAGCCAAATTCAAAACAGTGTTAGGAGAGAGGGATTTAGAGAAGGAAAAGAGGGAAGAAAGTATGCCTGGTGGGGAGGGGCGTGGTGTCTTTCATTCTGGTTGAGAGCATCCCCAGGAAGTGATGTCGCTGTCCTTCTATCTGCAGCTTGACCACATACTATCCCCTCCGCCCATGCCATTTCGGAAGTGCAGCAACCCAGACGTGGCTTCTGGCCCTGGAAAGTCGCTGAAGTTTAAAAGACAGCTGAGTGAGGATGGAAGACAGCTGCGGCGGGGAAGCCTGGGGGGTGCTCTGACTGGTGAGTCGCATGGGTGACTTGTTTAAGAGAGGGGGTTACGTTTATACAGTACAGTTGGCCCTCTGTATCCACGGGTTCCACATCCACAGATTCAACCAGCTACAGATGGAAAATATTAAAAAAAAAAAAAAAAAATTCCGGAAAGTTCCCTAAAGCAAAACTTGAATTTGCCATCTGCTGGCAACTATCTACACAGCATTTATGTTGTATTAGGTATTATGGGTAATCTAAAGATGACTTAAAGTATCCGGGAGTACATGCATAGTTGATAAACAAATACGGCGCCATTTTATATAAGGGACTTGAACATCTGTGAGAGTCCTGAAACCAATCCCCGTGGATAGGAGGGGACAACTGTAGTGTGTCCCCAGTGACAGTGGAGTTCCCTGTGTGAAAATCAGCCCCTTAGAATGTACCTGCCCCTCCACAGACCATTTGGTACAACCTGATCCAATTAGAGAGCCATTAAATTGAGGAGTATATTAGTAAACTTCACTGAAGTATAATTTACATAAAATAAAACGTATCCATTCTAAGTGTGCCTGTGGATGGGTTTTAGCGAATTTACACCCCAGTGTATTACCACCAAAGTCAAGATATAACATGTTCCCTTGCCCCTTCTTTGGGCCCAGGCAACCCCAGAGCTGCTTTTCGTCACTATAGATTAGATTTATCTTAAGAATTTTATGCTAATGGAATCATACATTGCATGCTTTTTTGTGTCTGGCTTCTTTCGCTCAGTTTGTTTTTAAGATGCATCTATGTTGTTAGGTGTATCAGTAGTGTATGTTGAACCTCATAAGAAACCGCCAAACTGTTTCCAAAATGGTACCATTTTACATTCCCACCAGCAACAGGTGAATGAACTAATTGCTCTGCATCCTTGGCCATCTGTGGTATTGCCAGTTTTTTTTTTAATTCTAGCCATTTAAATGGGTTAGTAGTCGTATCACTTTCTGTTTTTAATTTGTATTTTCTTGATGACTAAATGATGTCAAACATCTTTTCATGTGCTCATTGGACATTCATATTTCCCCTTTTGTGAAGTGCTTGTTTAAATTTTTCACCCATTTTTTTCCTTTCACCCATTTTTAAATTGTGTTGTTAAAATTTAATTAAAAAATTAAAATCTACAAATAACTTTTATTGGTTTGAAAGATAGCCAAATTAAAACAACTTAAAGCATGTTTTTTTAAAAAATAATTTTCCATATAAATTTTCATGTTATTAAACTTAATTTTAAATCACTAAAGGTTAGATTTCTATTTTTTCATTCTGAGAGCTTTTTCCTCTCAATATAAATATTTTAAAGAAACTTTATTGTTTTTTAACAATAAAGTTTTCTCTTGTCTGCCAGTTCATAAATGACCTGGAAAACAAGTTGAGTTTTTCATTTTTTTGGAGAATTATGGATTTTGACTTTTTGGAGATGAAATTTCTGGGAGCAGAAATGCTTCTGTACCATGATCAGCCCAGAGTCTAGAACATGTGACCCACAGTGGCACACTGCTGAGGTGTAGGGTGAAGCTGACTTCAGGCCAAGGGGAAAAACTTCATCAAAAAATTGCTGCACTTCATTAAAATTAGGGCAAATGTTCACACTTGAGTTTTACTGATGTTCTTTTAATGCTTGTTAGGACATTTTTCTTTGCTTTCATTTCTATAAGTGCAGAATATTTGCTTTTTTAAGTAGGAGATCCTAAAGATTTAGTCTAACCCTTAGTTTTTTAGCAGGGGAGATTAAATTTTAACGGTTAAAAGGCTCTCCCCTTACTAATTTCACTTAGGGAATTTACTTACTTTTGGTTAAACTGTTTTTGACCAACAGGAGGGGGGGGGAGTAATGGTTGCTCCAACTTATGCTAAATCAGTTTACTTAAAACTTTAAAATAATGCAAAGGTATAGCTGTTGATGCAGATATATGACCAGAAACATGAAATTTGACCTTTACCTTTAAAAGAAAAAAAAAAAAAAAAAAAAAAAAAGCTGAACTTGATTCCCATTTCAAAATCTCAACAGCTCTAGCAATTCTAGCTAACCTTTTGCAATTTAGCTTGATATAAAATTATTTTAGTTAATTAACTTTTGGTCAGATAATTTTCAAAAATGTTTAATAGTCCTTAGGAGAGCTTTTTAAAAAAAATCTCTTGAACATCAGCCTGTTTTAAAAAACAGTAGCTTGAAAGTGATTTTGGAATATGAAGAAAACATTCTTAGTTGGTCTTCTACATAGCTTAGCTGAGGATTTAATGAAGTAACACATACAAAGCAGTTAGCCCAGTAATGGTGGCTATTGGTGCATAACAAATTGAATTTAGGATATTTGCAGTTTATGGGTAACTTGGTCTTGTGAACATCAATTTGAAACCCTTATCAGTTGAGTTTCTGCTTTGTGTCAGGCACTGTGCTATAGTATCAGGTATTAGAGCTGAGAGAAGAAAGCATCATTTCTGATCATTAAGAAACATGGTTTCTACTAGTTTTAGGCAACTGTAAATAATCACATATGATCTTCCCTTGGAATAGACCTTGTTGCTAAACTTATGTCAAACTGGTTTTGACATCATAAGTTTGTGCCTGATAGTTTCTGTAACTTAAAGACCTGCTGCCTTCCTATTGTTTAACTTTGTTTTATTCCAAGGTTTGTTTTCCTTTAGCAGTTTTCTACTGTTTTCTTTGAAACAAAGACTATGTGAAGGCTTAATTTATATTTTGAAAATTTTGCCACCCAATTAGCCTTTATGAGTTTCACTAAACTCTTAGGTCTTTGAGAGGAAGGTCTGTGACCTTTTCATCTATTCATCCCTAATGACAGCTGACACGAAGACTTTACTATGTGGCAGGCACAGCCTTTAGGGAATTACATTTATTGACTTATTTAATCCTTACAACATCTCTGTGCACTTATGAGGGAGGCACTCTTATACCCATTTTACAGATGAGAACACTGAGGCACAGACAGGTTGTGTAAATTGCACAAGATCACGATGCTCAGAAACAGCAGAGCCAAGATTTGAACCCAGGTGTTGTGTCTCCACAGTCTGTACTTGTGGCCACTACACTGTGCCTAGCACAGCTGGTACCCAGTAGGTTTTCAATATATTCCAGCAGGATTAGTTCGAGTAATTTTTTTTTGCAATTAATTGGAAAATTTGTGCTCAGTTAATATCTGGGGCTGACTCCATCTGTATGGATCCTGGTCCATTAATTACAAAAGTAAATTAAAACTAGACAATTAAGACATATTAAAAACTTTAAAATTTATATATTTCTTAATCCAGCCATTCTGTTCCTCAGATTTCATCACAAGGAAATAGTCGTGAATATGTGTAGAGAATTAACTTTAATTATGTTTAGAGCAGCACCACTTATAATAATTAAAATCGCATATTATCTAAAATCTAGATATCTGGCAAAAGAATACTGGTGAAACATAATATGTTATACACATAAAGTGGAAAACAATTATAAACGTTAAATCATGTTGTGAAAAAATACATTTTAACATTGAAAAACTCACAATATATTTTTAATGTGAAATCTCATTGTTGAATGGACTCATCTTTTCATAGGACTTAATATAATTGTAATTAAATAATTATATATTTAATGAGAGGAAGGAAAACAATTCCTGTCTACTAAAGAGTTTTCTCAAACTGAGATTATGGTTGACTTGGTCCCCTTTATAATTGGGCAAGTGAAGGTTGCTACATGGCCCTTTTTATACCCTGCAATTCAATCCGTGAGTTACTTTTGCCCCTGAGTTTTTTTGTGGTATCAGGTGGTGTACCAGTTGACAACAGTAATGCTACATAACCACAAAGTTTCACTTTCAGACAACAATACATATTCCCTTTTTTCTCCTGTGGCTGCAGGTCACCTGGGTTTTGGCTTATTTAGCCTGGGCTCTGCTGTGATTGGTTCTAGGATGCAGTCTGGGTCTAGATCTGCTCCACGTGTCTCTCCTCTTCCTTGAGCCAGAAGCTACCCAAGGTATTATGTTCTCCTGGTAAGAGACAGGAGCAAGCGTGCATGTCCACCTGCACAGGCAGGTTTCAAGCCTCTGCTGGCACCATGTCTGCTAACTTTCCATTAGCCAAAGCAAGTCACATGGCCAAGCCCAGCATCATCGGGCAGAGGCATGCTCCACCCACCATGATACCTTGGCAAAGATGCAGATCTATAACACTCCCGGGGTGAAGCAAAGAATTGGCACCAATAATTCAGTCTCACATAGTTAGCTTTCGTCTCTCTTTAAAAACAGCCTTATAGAGTGAAAATATTTACATTTACCAGTTTTTCAATTAAGAAAGTAATACGGGGCTTCCCTGGTGGCGCAATGGTTGAGAGTCCGCCTGCCGATGCAGGGGACACGGGTTCGTGCCCCGGTCCGGGAAGATCCCACATGCCGCAGAGCGGCTAGGCCCGTGAGCCATGGCCGCTGAGCCTGCGCGTCCGGAGCCTGTGCTCCGCAACGGGAGAGGCCACAACAGTGAGAGGCCCGCGTACCGCCAAAAAAAAAAAAAAAAAAAAAAAAAAAAGAAAGTAATATGTGTTCAATGTGGACAGTTTAGAAAATACAGAGCACCATAAAGGAAAAAGCCATAAGCCCATAATTGTACCATGCAGAAACCCTTGATGGAACTTTTGACATTTTCTTCCTCAACTAAAATTTTGAATGACTAAGAGGATTAGATCAGAGGAAAAAAACAACCAGTACCTTTTACTGCAGGGCTGGCATTTAAACAACAGGCCTAGTGTTCACCATGCCCATCCCTGCCTGGATTTTTTTTTTTTTTTTCCCTTTTTTGAAGCTGATGATGTTGTATATCTTCATGGCCTGCAGTTTGCTAAATAGGCACCCAGAAGCATCGTGTAAACATTGACTGAGCTTTGGAGCCCCCTGATGAGAAATAGAAACATTATTCAAATCATACGGATTCTTAAATCTGGGCCTAAGTGGTAATGTGCCTGACAGTTCACAGCAAGGAAGCTGCAG